AAACATGAATTTCATATTCCACTTTTAGAAGGGGATTTGTTTAGATAAAGCAATGTGTTAAACAGCTTAGGCCTTATGGCATTTCAAATCCCATCCTAGCACATTTCTCACTAATAATTCCGTGTCCACTGCACACATTCCTATGGAAGTCTGTGGTCGTTAATTTTAATGTCTGATTGCTGTCATCACCAAACTACAGAAGTTGTTCTTTCCCTTTCAAGAACATTTAGTTTTGAGAAGTAAAACACATACAGCAAATGTAAATGATTACCTGGCAACGCAGCACAGCATTAGGCATGATGCTTTTTTTGGTTTTGTTTTAAATTTCTGCATCCATGCCTTTCTTACGGTCTGGTACAAACAGCCTCCATGAGGAGTGTGGTTTCTAAGTTGACCTCTCCTTGGTATAAACTGTATGGAGGGGAGGAAAAGAGACAGACAGCACGGTGGGTAATGCTCGCAAGAGGCAGAGGCCGGGCTGGTGCAGGTCCCTCTGCTTGGGAACATGTTCAGATCTTGCTTAGCAGGGCCTCATTTCAGAAACGATGAATAGGAAAGTTGGATGGAGTTTGATTCTTCCTTCCACAGGAACAATTGGAAAACTAACGAGGGCCTCTGCTAGGATGGTGGAAAGTCTCAGAGGTCTTCTAAAATGCTGGCAAGTGGACGGACGTCCATTCTTTCTTAAAGGGAAACTGTTTAATTCTTAATAAAGTCAATGAACTTCAGGCGTGCCTGCATCGATGTCTGTGTCTTAATGGTTTAGGCGAGTGCACTAAAGCCTGGTTACACCTCAGGAAACCTCTGAAAAAGCTGGCATCCTAGCACTTCAGAAAAAAAAAAAAAAAAGACCAAAAAACCCCACGAATGTCGTCCCGCCGTTTGGGGGGCTGGTGGCAGGTCTGGTCGTCTGCAGGGCCCGCCCCGCGCGCCTTTCTAGCGGCTGGCGTCCTCCCTCCTCCCGCCCAGGCTTTACACTCTCCTCCTCGCGGTGCCCGCCAACTCCCCAGGGTACAAAGTACAGCGAGGACGCGGGCGGAGCCGGTCTGAGCGGTGCAGCCGTATCGCCAGCGACTGGACACCTAGATGGATTTTCAATTCCGCGCCTGGCACGTTCCGGAGCGAGTCTCAGGCTGCTCCCCAGCTCCCAGCCGCCGCGCGTCCTTGCTTCTGGAGTCGATTCCCCGGAACACTCTCGCCCGCCAGGAGCTGCCTGCAGCATTGTATGGCAGAAGCCCCTAACCCCGAGGAGTTGTTCTTCCTCCCCATACAGCTCTTGGTTTAGGGTCCGTTTTCGAGACTCTAAGAGAAATTCCGTTGAGCACCTGTGCTGGGACCCGGCCCAGAGAAGCAACTTGGACCCACCAAGAACGTCTACCTGCTAGCAGAGCACGCATGCACTTGGCAAGGGCCACCTCCGCGTCGGGCTGGAGGGAGCGCGCTCGGGGTAAGGAGGGCTCCGAGCTCCTGCGGCGGGTCTTGGGGGCAGGGCAAGTGGGGGCAGGAGGTGGGGGATTGCGGTTCGGGTCAGAAGAACGGGAGGGGAGCTGAGCTCTCCCACCGGAGAGGGCAGCAACTTGAGGGAAACTGCGATGAAACTCCAGACACCCGTTTGGGGTCCGCTTCAGTCTTTGCTGCGGGAAGGAATAGGACGAAATCTGCAATCTACATTCCCTCCCTCCCTCCAGCAGGGTAGAGAAACTCCCGGTGCTGAGGGGGAACCCTGGAAACTGCCGCTCCGCTTGAGCCGAGTGCAGGACTGGGAAGGAAAATAAATTGAGGGAGGAGGGACAAACCACCCATGTGCCCTCCTCCCTCCCCCCCCCTTTTTTTCCATAGCTGCTGACGCGCTGGTGGTGCCTTATTAATCTTTCACCAGCCCAGAGCCGCGCCAGTTAATGGCTGTGCCGCGTGGGGCTCCAGCGTTCTGGCCTCCCAGTCTCCGCGCTCGCCAGTGCCCCGGCGCCCCGGAGCGGCAAGCGGCAGCGCTCAGGAAGCCGCTGGGCGATGTGCCCCGCCGGCGCGGGTAGGAGCCGAGCTCCCCACAGTCGCTGCGCGCTACCCCGAGGCGCCGGGTGGCTGTGAGCTGCAGGCGAGCGGTCGGGCGCGGAGGGAGGGCGCAGGCAGCGGGGCGCGAGGACAGAGCCCCAGCCCCGGCAACTCCACCGGCCCCCCTCAGCCAGGATGTTCCCCAATGGCACCGCCTCCTCTCCCTCCTCTCCTAGCCCCAGCCCGGGCAGCTGCGGCGAAGGCGGCGGCAGCAGGGGCCCCGGGGCCGGCGCTGCGGACGGCATGGAGGAGCCGGGACGAAACGCGTCCCAGAACGGGACCTTGAGCGAGGGCCAGGGCAGCGCCATCCTCATCTCTTTCATCTACTCCGTGGTGTGCCTGGTGGGGCTGTGTGGGAACTCTATGGTCATCTACGTGATCCTGCGCTACGCCAAGATGAAGACGGCCACCAACATCTACATCCTGAACCTGGCCATTGCTGACGAGCTGCTCATGCTCAGCGTGCCCTTCCTGGTCACCTCCACGTTGCTGCGCCACTGGCCCTTCGGCGCGCTGCTCTGCCGCCTCGTGCTCAGCGTGGACGCGGTCAACATGTTCACCAGCATTTACTGTCTGACCGTGCTCAGCGTGGACCGCTACGTGGCCGTGGTGCACCCCATCAAGGCGGCCCGCTACCGCCGGCCCACCGTGGCCAAGGTGGTGAACCTGGGCGTGTGGGTGCTGTCGCTGCTCGTCATCCTGCCCATTGTGGTCTTCTCGCGCACGGCGGCCAACAGCGACGGCACGGTGGCCTGCAACATGCTCATGCCCGAGCCCGCCCAGCGCTGGCTGGTGGGCTTCGTGCTGTACACGTTTCTCATGGGCTTCCTGCTGCCTGTCGGGGCCATCTGCCTGTGCTACGTGCTCATCATTGCCAAGATGCGCATGGTGGCCCTCAAGGCCGGCTGGCAGCAGCGCAAGCGCTCGGAGCGCAAGATCACCCTGATGGTGATGATGGTGGTGATGGTGTTTGTCATCTGCTGGATGCCTTTCTACGTGGTGCAGCTGGTCAACGTGTTCGCTGAGCAGGACGACGCCACGGTGAGCCAGCTGTCGGTCATCCTGGGCTATGCCAACAGCTGCGCCAACCCCATCCTCTACGGCTTTCTCTCGGACAACTTCAAGCGTTCTTTCCAGCGCATCCTATGCCTGAGCTGGATGGACAACGCCGCTGAGGAGCCGGTCGATTACTATGCCACGGCCCTCAAGAGCCGCGCCTACAGCGTGGAGGACTTCCAGCCCGAGAACCTGGAGTCCGGCGGCGTCTTCCGCAATGGCACCTGCACGTCCCGGATCACCACGCTCTGAGCCTGGGCCACGCAGGGTTCGTGCGCCCAAAGAGAAGCAGCATGAGAAGGGAAAACCGGGTGCGAAAGGGGACGGTATTCAGGTCCCAGGGTGCGTTGGGGATAACGTGGGGCTAGGACACCGCGAGTCCCTGGTGCAGGGACCCGGGAAGGGCGGGACAACGGTAGGATGGAGAGATTTGTTTATAAACTGAGAAGCATTCCTGCCACCTTCTCGGTCTCCCACTTTCTCGGCGCCTTTCTCAACGGCTCTCGCTCCGCTGTGCTCTCCGACCTGCAACTTCGATCCTTCCTTCGCCACCATCCCGCCCACGCAGGACACGAACTCTTTAGCATAGTCAACTCAGCCAGTCCTCAGTCCCTCCGGCCTTATTTCTGTTTGGTTACGCTGAGCCACGGTTACCGCCACGGGTTTCCCTCGGGGTTAGCCCCTCGCTGGTCCTCAGCCCCGCCCAGCCGCTCCCGGGGCCGCTGGTCCAGGTGCTGCCTGGTGCCCCTAGTGGTGTCCCGGGAACCACCGCTCTCCCTTTGCACAGCCCTACTGGAAGGGTGGTGGGACTTCAGAAAGAGCTAGGCAGCTGGTTTGTTTCCCCACTCTTGGGTGAACGTGCGTCCTTCCCCGGGGCCTTTCGTCACTCTCACTCCACCCAGAGCAAAGCCAGGTGCTTAGTGAAACATGTCCTGCGCTTGGAACCCCAGGCTTTCTGCAGTCCCCAGCCAAGCTCCCCTCTAGAGCAAAAGGGAGCTGAGAACAAGCCAAATGAGTTTTTATGAGAGTCTAGGTTTGGTGAGGAGGTGGGTGTACCAGAACTCTCCCTCAAGACAGGCGCTCTCAGTTTCAAAGAGCAAGCGCTGCGCGCTCCTGGCGGGGCCAGGGTTAGGCAGGGCAGGGCAGGACTCACCTTCTCCTGGGAGTCCCCGGGTCACAGGGCTGCAACTCCGCCTGGCTCTCTCCCTCACACCAGAGTCTGGAGGAGCCCGCTAAGAGTAAGAAGAGGCTCGGCTTCCTGCTCCCGTTTACCTTGAAGACCCAGTGACTAGGGTGACTCTTCCGGAGCCTTGACCAACACTGGCTGTGTCCCCACAACCTGCAGGCTCCAGAATGAGGCCTGCCTGGCCTCCGAGGGTTGCTGCCTTTCATGCGGTGCCTCATAAGTTATTTATTGCTTAACATATTTATTTATTTGTGGTGTTGGAAAGTGTGTCTTTGGTCTCCTGCCCTCTACTTGCCTGGTCCCGGTCTTGTCTTTGAGACCCGGTGGGTGGGATGAAAGTGGAAGTGGGAGAAAGCTCCCAGCCCCGAGGCCCACCTCTGGAAACCTCTCCTCTCCTCTGGATTTATCCTTTCCTAGCCTTTCGGGGTTTGATTGGGTCCAGTGAAGTTTGGAGATTTTTTTCATCTTTTTCTTGTTGTGGAGTCTTGTTTGTCAGATACATGCTTGTGAGTTGGTATCTCCTGTCCACACACGGTGGAAAAGTCCTGAACTCCTGGGTTTCCAGGACTCATATGTAGGCGAAACACCACTGTGTATGATTTGAGAGTGTGTATATTTTATATATGTGATGTGGACACATATATATTAGTTTATCTTATTCCATTCACGAGTCCATGAAACAATTCCAAGTACAGCCTCGACCAGTGCTGGGTGTGAGTCTGGCTGGAACACTTTCAGCTTCTGGGGTTCAAGCATCACTCAACCTGAAGCTGAGAAATCTAATTCAGACATAGACTTTAGTCACTGCTGGGGATGCCCATGCTTCCTCTGGGTTCCTGCAGAGATGATTCTCCCACCCAGTCCACGTGGCATCATCCCTCCTGTGAGGACACTAAAAGTGGAATGATTTGTGTCTATGTCTAATCTTACCAACTACATTGGAAGCCTGAGCAGACAAGGACCAATAATTTTACTTCTTTGTACTTCCTGTATTGCTTTAGTATGCTGGCTTGTACATAGTAGGCATTTGTTGGTTGATTGTTTAAGCAAGTCAGAGTTTATTTCAACAGTCCCGAGATACTAAACCAAGGGTTCTCAGGTTCTCTCATTGACGTGATACACAATGGTTAAAAATCACTATTGAAAAAGATGTTTTGTATATATTTGCTTCAAGAACTTTATGCTTTCTGGAAAGCAGTCACTGAGAGCTAAGATGTTTTGTTTAAACTAATGAACAAATATGCTTTTGGTTACACGTCAGAAAGTTTAGGTCTGTTCTTTAATAATTACATATATTATTAGTCCTTTGGAAAATAGATTTTTAACGGTTAAGAATGGTGAAATTTAACAATCAAAATCTTGATTATTATTCTCTCAAGAGGATACAAGTCTAGTGCTCTTAATCTGTTGCCATTGTATTATTAACTAAATAAAACAGATGATGCTGTTGCAAGCTGTCCGACTTTGCCGTTTGAATTTTACTATTTCAATGGATTACTTAAAAACACACATACAGGCCTGGTTGCCTGATGTTGCACTTCGATTTTAAAAAGACATTTTTCAGTTTATCTTTCAAAATTTTACCAAGATTGTGGTTATAAGTTCAATTATTTTCTTAAATAGAAAAGCCTTTTAGGTCAAGAGAGAAGAGAGGAAGAAGAAAAGTTGAGTCAATTTGTACAGGAAGCAAGGCACTCTGTTGTCCCCAAACTACCTGGATAATATCTTAATCTCTCACAGATTCAATTACTGTCTGCCCTCATGTATGACCTCAGACTTTGTTGTGGAAACTGAGTAATTACTGATTTGCATATGATATAAGATGATAGGAAGGGAAGGAATATCTCCTAACGGTGTCCCAAAGAAACAGAAAAATGGGATTTCAACATAAGAGGACATTATTTTATGTTTTGTTCAATGATGGCTATTTTCATCCTTGGGAAAATTTAGAAGGCATTGGGGGAAGTTTTTGTTTGTTTGTTTTTCAACAGACTTTATTTTTTAAAAGCAGTTCTACCTTTGTGGCAAAATAAGCCCAAAGGCTCATTTTCCAAGCAGGCAATAGCAGTGACTCCAGAACCAGGATGAGGGGTGGAGACTTCAGATACCTTCAAATGCTCTGTAGCTCTAGTTTTTATAGGGCCATATCCACCATCTCAATATGACCAAGGATAGCTGGACTTTTGTCTTTTTTATTATTTTTAAAAGCTATAGCAAGATGGTAAGTTAAAGTCATAACTTAGACATGTAGATAAACACATCTTGTCACTTTACTGTCAACTAATCAGAGCATTATTTCGAATTCCTTCCCACTGGTTAGCGGGAAGGAAAAATTAAGTAGTCAGACATCCAATTAAGCTGACAATTTACATCGCCTTTTAAAAGGTTTTTTGAAAATTTTTCTTTACATAAATGTAAGCAGTCTCTCTATTCCCCCTCTTCCTATTTTGACATCCCTAAAATGGCTTCAGAGTGAATGCCAGGAGGAGGCTTTGCACATGCTGGTGGAGGAGGAGGTGAGGTGAGGCCCTTGAGGAGGGGCTCCACTCTACCTTTTGTTCTGGGGAGCCGGGTTGTGTGTCCCCTGGCTGCTTGCTGGCGGCAGTTTGCTGAAACTATCTCTGCAGCTGCTGGAGCCTATGATTCCATCTCTCACCACGGGGAGGCCTGCAGTTCAGCCCCAGTGGACTGCACCCCTCTCAGTCTTCCATGGCCCCCATACAGCCCACCAGCCTACTGGTCCACCCCAGCCTCTCAGGAGGAGCGGCCTCATCCTGCCACAGCAGCTGCCAGGTGAAGCCCTTGGCTCAGTGACTATA